TTTTGGTGCACCAGATCGTTCTTTATCTTCAACATCAAAATCATTATTTTTGAAGCGTCTAAACCAATCTCTGCATGTTGTTTCCGACAGAGCATGGTCGCCGTAAGTCTCAACAAGAATTCTGTGTGCTTCAGCTGCAGATTTTTTTTGAATAAAATAGTGCAATAAAATTCCCCGCAAATACTCTTTTTTTAGCACGAAACTAGACATGTTTAACACAATGAAAAAATAAGTTGTTTACACTTCGGTGAAATGACATATACTGAATTTCAAGGTCGCTTATTGTACTTCCTTACAGATGCGTCACCATCTAAAAATAAACACACGTGGTTCTGGTAACACCATCTGTTAAAGAACAGTGAGAACTTATTCAAGGTCCTTATATTTCCACCCAGGACAAAGATAACATACTATTTATTGAAGGCATACTATGACTTTTGTTCAAGTGTTTTAGCATAACAAACTTTACTTTAATTAATTAAATTAATTAAAGATGTGTTCTATAAGTAAACACTATGCTAATACAAACACAAATTAATTCAATTGTAGTCTGGTGATTTTATAAATTCAGTTGTCACTGTTGAAAACGTGCTATTAATTGTATATAAATGAATATTGTAATTTTATATTGTGAATTTATTAATAAATTAATGTAACTGATGTAAAAATACTTGTCAACAAATGGCAAGACACCTCTGGGATCCCTACCCTTCTACCTTCTGTTCCCTAATTTTTCTAACTTAGTCTTCTTCTTCCATCATTTCTCCTTACTTTCTTTCTCTATAGGGCTAAGTTAAATCAAATTTTAGATATTAATGGAACATTTTTGTTGCTTCTAGTATCGTTGGAATTTTTTGAGAGATGTTTGTTATCCAAATATTGATAACTTTTTCTGCTAATCCTATTAATTTATTTTGTACTATAATGTTTTTGTATTAACATGTTTATTACTAATAGCAGACCCCGCCACGCGTTGTTGTGGCTCAAAATGTATCTATTATAAATGTATAATACTTCCCCCGTGGGGGGAAATTTTTCGAAAAATTTCTTTTTAGTGTACATTCTGTTGACGTACCCTATTAAAACGCAATCAAAAACGCAAAAACCCGCATCTAAAATAATATAATAGAAGCCAAGTTTTTCACGGTAAGCCTTAATTCTCTCTCTCTCTCCCGCGGAGGAATATCGAAAAATCCCTTCTTAGTGTACATTCTGTTGACGTACCCTATTAAAACGCAATCAAAAACGCAAAAACCCGCATCTAAAATAATATAATAGAAGCCAAGTTTTTCACGGTAAGCCTTAATTCTGTCTCTCTCTCCTGCGGAGGAATATCGAAAAATCCCTTCTTAGTGTACATTCTGTTGACGTACCCTATTAAAACGCAATCAAAAACGCAAAAACCCGCATCTAAAATAGTATAATAGAAGC